CCCTGACCAGGAATCAAACTGTGACCTGGTTCACTGAGCCACACCACCAGGCAGGAAAGGCGTTGTTTCTTTCATGGAGCAGTAAAAGATGCTGTTCCTTATAGTGAGAGTCCTATTATGCTGGATAAAGACAACCACTAAGTGAAAGCCAGTCTACACTTACTGGCTCATCTCATGTGAATCTGTTGGTGTGTTGTGTGCTATGACTTGAGAATAAAAGCTTTCCTACACTTGATGCTCTCCAGTGAATCTTCATGTGTTGACTGAAATTATAGTAGTAGCAAGTCTTTCCCATAGACTTTGCATTTAAAAGGGTTTTTATCCAGTGTGAGTCATATGAATACAAGATGAGTTTGGTCGAAGGCCTTTCAACATTTATTGCATTCATGGGGCTTCCCTCCAATGTGAACTTTCATGTGTTGACGCAAATTATACTGGGAGCAAAAGGTTTTCCCACATTCTTTGCACTTAAAAGGTTTCTCGCCAGTATGGATCCAACTATGCTGGACAAAACCAGAGTGGAAGGAGAAAGATTTTCCACATTTAGTGCATTCATAGGGCTTCTCTCCTGTGTGAATCCGCTGGTGCTCTGTGAGGTGTGACTTGCGACGAAAAGCTTTCCCACATTCACTGCACTCATAGGGCTTCACTCCCGTGTGAATCTGCATATGTTGACCCAAATTAAACTTGTAGCAAAATGCTTTCCCACAGTCTTTGCATAAAAAGGGTTTTTCTCCAGTGTGAGTTTTCTGATGCTTAATTAAATTAGACTGATGGATGGCCTTTCCACATTTATTGCACTCATAGGGCTTCTCTTTAGTGTGATTCTTCATGTGTTGCCTGAGAGTAGAACTGTTGCGAAAGGTTTTCCCACACTCTTTGCACTCAAAAGGCTGTTCTCCAGTGTGAATCTGTTGGTGCTGCATGAGGTCTGATGTACAGCTGAAGGTTTTCCTACACTGTGTGCACACATAGGGCTTTGCTTTCAGATGAACATAGTCACGTGCAAGATCCCAATTCTTGGTGTTCCTGCATCCACTATATTCATAATGGTTCTTCCCAGTTTGATTCCTGGGGTCTTTTAGTCTGTGTGTATCACTGTTATGGAGAACACCTACTAGAGAGACTCGCTCATGTAAAACCCTTGAGCGTAGACTATTATCTGACCCCAAATCATTGCATTTAGGGTTCATCTCCTTGTGGGGGTCTGTCACTGGCCTTAAGACTTCTTGCATTTCCGACAGCCCTTCCTGAGTTTTAGTTTTTCCAGCCCTGGATTCCCTTGAAGCTCCCTGCCTCATCCATCCCCGAAGTGAGGATCCCTCAGACAGGAGCAGCTGAGAAGTGGTAGTCTCTGATTTTTCTCTGGCTCCTGAAAAGAAATAATAACACAAGAATGGCTTATTAGTGATGCCAACATAAAGAAACAAAATTACTACTTTTTTTTTTT